GAGCGCAAATAAACTATCAAGTGCTCAAAATGCCTAGAGCTAGATAGATCTATGGATAGTTTCAGCACAACAAGTAAAATCATGTTCACCCTATTTCATTTAAGATAATGAAGAACTGGTAATTGAATTTTTCCACAAGGATACGGGTAGGCCTCACACTTCCATTCAATTTCACAAAGCGTTTCACATGTAGTCGATTGGAATGGAAAATAAAACTTTGCCTTCACGAAGGTACCATAAAAGGGTATGATATGGGAAAGGCATGGCCTTTCTTGAAATTCACTTTTATCCTGTGACCAAAGAACATAGCTGGCAGTTTGGAGTGGTAGTTAAGGTATCAAGACTATAAGCTGCATTGCTCTAGTTCGATTCTCGCCAGGGGTGATGATAAGACCTGGATATGGTCAATACTGCAGTCTAATCTTGCCTGGATGAGAATACGTTTGGTAAAGCAAGGTTATGTGAATTCAAATGGAAATGTAAGGCTTTCTAATATCATTTTGCGAAAATTCAACTGCTAGAACTTTATCCCCTTACATGAAAGGAGGCGAACACAGTTCTTATTCAAGATTTACTGGCAGCCAAGAAACCCTACTTTAAAACGCAAACAACTTCTCCTATACTGTCTCGTACCTCAAGCATAGCTTGTATGCCGTTATTCAGCCTAACCAATCCATACGATTCAAGAAGATCGCAGGCCAGCGAATTCGTGCTGGTGGGGCTATCTGCCAAAATGGCGGAAACTGCGTCTGCTTTTCTTTGTCGCCATGAGTATCTGCCGGTTATGCGGTAGTTCGTCGAGAAGGAAGAGGAACGGGAGGACGGGCAAGATTGAGCCAAGGCATTACAAAGTCTGGGTTCTCCAGGCAGCAATAAAGCAGATGTGGTTGCCAGATAAGAAGCCATTGAGTAGGAGCGCGATACTGATCCCTCCGGTGAGAAATTTGCCGTCGGCGAGTCTGCCCTTTCGGGCCTTCTTTCTCGACAGTCAGAGTCGTAGCCACTAGCCAAACTGGCGTCATCGCAACTATGATCCAGGTTCCGGTTGCCGGGTGCTACAGGGGACAAGGAGGAGGGTGGCGATAACGAATTCCGGAGGGAGGAGTGAACTCCAGGCGACCTCGACCGCGAGTGAGACGGTGAAGAGGGAAAAGAGGTGGTAGCCGATATCTGAGTCTGCTTATCAGGAGCTGTGTCGTTGGCCAATTTTTTTGCAGATTCACTTCGACGCTCATAGTTGCGCGAAACAGGAGAACCATCTTCAGTCAGAAATTTGGCATCTGAAGGTAAAGATGTATAGATAATTGAGAAATGGCGAATAATGCTGCAGTTTATCCTCATATAAACGATAAAACTCTTTCTCTCTCTATATACATAAAGGACTCTTTTAAAGAAGGGCCTAAGAAACTATTATTTTATGGAATTTGTGTAATCAGTAAATAAAAAAGGAAGTGTTGACTATTCTGAATGTGATAGCATAAGCCACTAATACGAGCCAAACGTTATCACTTATTACAGAAATTAGAGTGGCTAAAAATCTATTCCTGAGTTTCTTTTTCATGTGGGCATTTTCGGGATTATTATCAAGCCCTTTACAAGATCTTGAGTGATATAGATGCTGCAAATTGAGACGGATAAGACTCATGATATCAATAAACTTATTCAGCCCAGCTATTCAGAAGTATTACAACTTTAAATTCGCAACGTAGCCAAGGGTATAAGTAAATTAATATTCATAGGGAGACAGATGTGCATTAGGCAAACTTGTATTCGCCATGTTAAGCATCCAAACTACTATATACTAGGAAAGTATGCTTAAAAAACAGTATTTTAATTTGATTGCACCAAAATATGATAAAATGAGCGATTGTAGTAACAGCGAGGTACTTGGATGTGAGACAATATCTAAACGAGAAAGAAAAGTAGTCTAGTCCGTATTAGAAAGCATTTTGGGGGACTAAACTAAGTGAAATTCAATGGCATCGTAAGGCTTAATCAAGTAAGGAAGGGGAATTCCACTAGGCTTAAGCAACAAATGGTGAGCCAATTCTTATTCATATCTGAGTTTATTATGCATATGGTGATTTTTTAAGAGTTTTATCTAAATTGAGCATATTGATGCACTATTTCGTAAAGTATAACTTTTTGCTCTGATTATGTCTGTCACAGCAGTGCAGACGAAAGTTTAGCACGGATTCATCGAGGTCGAAGGACTGTGAGCTGAGGACTTCTTTGCATAATCTAAAAGAAGTCCCTCAAAGACAATTTTACTTCGGCTTGCGGTGAGACGAAATCACGCATTCCTTCCAACCAATATTTAATATCGAAACAAAAGTGCAAGCTAGTTTCTGGCATAAAAATGCTCAATTAAATTGTAAAGACTCACATTGACTGATTGCAGTCCCTTTGTCTTCTGTTACATCTGCCTGGCAAGCGGAATTTTGATGGTGTTGCATTTCGTGAGGTTTATGGTGTCTCCACCGCCAGTCCCGATAACAGATTTGAGAGCGGGATTTCGGCTCGATGCCTGCGTTCACACAAGCTCCACCATTCGATTCGTCTGGTGGTTGTGATTTGGCTCGATTTTGTGTATAAGTCTGTAGTAGCTTGTGTTTTCGCGTCCTCTTATACAAAGCCGTAGGGGAGTTGATGATGGACCGTGACAGCCGACTCGTCTTCACTTCCAAGCTTGACGGCGGCTGTGGGAGCTCTCGAAGTTGCAAGTGTTGACGCCTTCGTAAGGTGGCCTGAGCAAGGCGTCGTTGTGCCAGTTGTACAGAAATCATCGCCTCTTCCCAAACGGTAAGACGCACCTCAAGTTTGGCCAGCAGGTTTTGGTGAATCTCGACCAAAGGCTCGATCAACGGGAGCAGACAAACTCGTAGCCAGTCTGCTAGAGGTGCACAGGAGAGACGCTCTGCTGCCTCAAGAGGATTCTAGGCAAGAAAAAAAAATTTGGTGAGGAAACTGTGCTTTATCGACAGGAAAATAAGCGAAGTTTCAAAGAATCCCTTAATGAGCTAGTGTGACTCGACATTTCCATTTGAAGCAAAAGTCGGTTGGAACGAATTTGTGAATTTGCCGCATCAGATTGTGCTTTTACAAGCAAAAACGCACCAACATAATAGGCTAAGAAAAAGCTGGTTTATACCAAATATAGCGGTCTATAATGAGGCATCCCATGATTTAGTTAGTTGTTTCATGCTAACCCCATATGTTTGTAGCTGGGTCAAGTTAATTTATGGAAAGGAAGTAGACACGATTGTGGCTATTTCCAACGAGCAGTCCTCTAATAATGATACATTCCTAGCTATGCACTATTTGGCATTGCATACTTGGAGTGTGTTAACTGATGTTAGGTGAGATAGCTCTAACCAAACTCGATGCTATTCCAGCCTCCATATATTGCTCAGCAGTCAATTGCCTAGATACGTTTCTCTTATGTAGGATGTTGATTGCTTTTGTAGATATGGATAAATGAGTTTCGAGTAGGATAGAGGGAAGAATCCGTTTTGGAAATGAGGAACGTCTTGAAGGTACACTTTACTCGGAGGTGCCATTTATCGGGAATTCTCGGATCCTCCCTCAAAATCGAGCCGTTACAATATTTTGTGTTCCCGCGAAAAGTTGTCAACTTTATTGTTTTCCCTTAAATAATGCTTTTTCTTCATCCTATTTCATATTATTGTGAAATTAGTGACAATCAGTCAGGGATTTTGTAGGTAAGTAAGCCTTGATGACCCGAACTTGACATTGGGTTTATGTAATCTCTTTGATTTATGACCGGTATTGCGTATAAGGTATGTACACTCACACACAGACACTCAAGTAAAAATGCACTGGCCAATATGAAAGGGAATTAGCCAAATCATTCTATATCTAGCTATGTCTATACATTTTCGCTTTTAGCTATGGGCATACATAAAACGTAAGATAAAGCCGGACAGTCTTCTTGATCTAGTGGTAACTTGGGCCTTTTACAAGAATGAGTTCCAGCTATGATGATGTCCATCCTTTTCAGCCCATTTTCACCCGACACAAGATTGGATGTCTCGTGGACTGTATCAACCTGCGCGTCGTATCAAAGCCAAACGGCTGCAGTACAACGCGAATCAGCCGTCCTCTTTTGGTGAGATCGACCTTCAGATATCTTCTTCATGCACTTTCATATGAAATAAAAGTCGCCTTAACAATTAATCCTAATAGATAATTGTTTTGAATTGGAATTTTTTAGCCGTTTTAACTCTTGATCCTGGTGACTTACGTCTGCAAACTTCTTATATACTCTGATTTCATAAGCTCTACTTTAACCCCACAGGTATGCGTTTGTGTGACTTACTATACATATCCCTGCCAATTTGTCCAATTATTCACTAACCAGGATTTCCAATAGATTAATTTACCGTACTTTATTACTCCACTGTTAATTCAATTGTACTATCCAATCCAGTCATTAAGTAATGAATTTTTCCAGGGCATCTCCTTTTCCTCCTCACAAATAGCAAAGTAGTCGTCCATAAATCTGACATCAACTGGTAGTGCCTCTTTAATTAGGAAATCATAGAGTAGCCAAATAAATCATGAAATATTCCATTAAATGTAAAAAGGTAAGCTATAAGAAGTGACTAGTTTGCAGCCAACGCCTTTTTTTCATCGTGTTTGGTGAATTCTCCCAAAACACGGTGTCCTGATCTGACAACATCCGTCACAAGAGGGATGAAAGCTCATCACGGATTTACCGGGATCACAGGCGGCTTGCTTCGCTTAATCCAGCGCTCAAACATTTAAGATAATCCAGTGAGGTCAACCTACGAGTCCCTTTCACTTGTCGCCTCAAGCAAAATGAAAGGAATAACCATATTTGTTTGTAGCTATAGCTTTACCGATCTCAAGCTTGAACATGAAATTCCTGTCGCAAGTAAAATACTGTGTTTCACATCACCCCCTTACATGCCCCTTATTGATGATGATATGTGTTAAGACTGTCGAGTATGCTAACAGTTTAGTCGAGAGCAATTTTTTTCTCTACAGCTTATCCTGACTTAACGGCCTTATTTACGTGTTACGCATGCTTTTGGACGTGTACATAGGGAAGCAAACATGCCATTTTTGAGTGAGTTCCAAGTCTGAGACTAAACTTAAAAGATACAGCTTTGGCGGTTGCTAACACTTTTCTATGGCAGCCATCAGGAAATTGATTATGTTAATACACTGTGGTTATGGTTGTCTGGCTTATTGGGGCTGCAAATTTGCCTCGTTCCTTGTGCTAGTTCAGTAGGAAGTGCTGATAAGGCTGTAGGTATTCATAATTGAGTAGGGTTTCGAGACTACCAGTAAATCAGTGTAATGAGATGTATTCACCCTATTTCG